AAACAGAAGGACATGGCAACTAGAATACTGAGACTGCTGTCGAAGAAAGAGAAGAAGAAACTCAATGGGTCTAACTAGCCACGGAAGGGAGTGCTCGTATCACAGGAGCCCATGTGGTGATTAAAAAAGTGGAATCAAAGAGCCTGAGTCTTGAGCAGCAGGAAGAGAGGTTGTGGCCAGAGAACAGCATGCTGGGGTGAAATTTAGAATCCTGGGTGGTGAGGAGAGAGGGGAAGCCACAGAAGCGGGTGCTGATATGGGAATGGGATGAGTCATGACTCTTGTGAACACTAACATTGCCCAAAACAAATGGCAGAACCTGAAACAAGGAGGAAGACTTTGAGTGGGGGTGAGGAAAGCCCTCAGGGACCGTGAGTGCATGACCACACAGGGGGGAGCAGGGGTTTACGTGAGGAGGAGGGCTGGTGGCATAGAAGCCAGCTAGTCCAGAGGAGAGTGCCATCCTGCCTGAGGCATGGGGAATGGGACAAAGAGCAGCCTCACTGGCCAGGATCTCAGTACAGGTGCATGGGGGGCCCAGGGGAGAGACTAGGCTGGTGTCACTGATATTCACCTTATCATTTGGAAGTATGTCTCTCTGCCAGACAATGAAAGGGCTTATTTTTCTCCACACCCCTGGGACTGAGTGGCATCCCCACAACAGGTACCCAGTGAATGTTTGAAGAGGGATGAAGGGAGGGCAGAGGCCACAGTAGTCCAATAAACAGGCCACATTTGCCCTTCCCTGTTCTTTACAGTCCCCAGCAGGGACTTGCCCCGCGTCTCTCCCATCAGGAGGCTGAAGGAGCAAGAAGAAACTAACAGAATCATTGAAATGCAACGCCTAGAAATCCGGCGGCTCAGAGACCAGATTCAAGAACAAGAACAGGTCCCAGGGTTCCACACTATTGCTGGAATTCGGCTTCCTTCCATGCCTGATTCAGATGTCAATACGATGAGCAAGTGATTCTTCGCATGAGCCAGCTCCAGTTAGAGCCACAAGTACCACATGTCTGTCCCCAGGCCAGATTCACGCCGGGGTCCGGGCAGTCCCTGCAACACTGACCCACCCCTCCTTTCTCTTGCCCTGGGAACTGGGGATACGGTCAGAATAAAGGTGTTTGCTTACAACTTTGTCCAACTTCTGCTTAGCTAAGGGGCCAGGGCAGGTGAGGGAAAGAGAGGAGCCGAGGACTGGGGGGCTGTCCAAAGCCACTGCTGCTTGTGTCTTCAGGCACAGGACTGCCTGGCACCATGAACATCGCAGTGGGCTTGGGACTGGCTTCCTGCCACCTGAGGCCTGAGGCCAGCCAGGGCTGCCTGTTCCTATTTAGGCGACTCTGCTCGTTGGTTCCCTCCTTTGTCAGTGAAGTCAGAACCAGATAACACCTCCTACGTTTTCTTCTCCATGATGCAATGTCATGAGGCTTTCTGGTGATTTTTGTATGTATAAAGGTGACGGAAAAGATGAGAGTAAAAGAACAAACATGCAAATTTACAGGGACCCCCATCTTGTATGACACGCACACCTTGTTCTTAGGATCACAAGCAGAGCTCCACCCTCCTTTTTCTGATCTCCCCATCGCTCTAGACTAATCTTCTGCAGTGCCCTTCCCAGCACCTCCATTTCTGAGAGGTACTTCTTCCTCTAGCAATGCTTCTGGGCCCCATCCTGGGAGACTCAGCCACACACAGGTACCAGGAAAGATACTTCTTTCTATCCTAAAGAGTAAAGGAATATAACCCAAGAGCCCCTGCTTCTTCCTGCAGAGGCCAGATGCGCCTCTGATGCCCAGATAACTTACCTAAGCCCACAGGCCCTCCTGACCCCTGCTGCCTGTTGTCGCCAAGGCTTACCACCTTCTCAGTCTGCTTTACTTTCTCTTGGCACTGCTCTTGGGTTAGTTTTCAAGGCTAGAGCTGAGACTTAGCTCTCCTGGAGGTGGTGGGGGCAGCAGACAGAAGGGACATGACAGAGGCCAAGAAGCAAAGTACTTTAGTGACCACCTCCTCACCCTCCCCTGCCCCCTATCACAACAGCCAGCTCATCTCCTCCATACCAGTGTGCCCGCTAGCACGCCATCCACTGCCTGGGAGAACAGATCCCAAGAGCAGGAAAAAATGCATACACCTCTGAGAAAAGTTCAGCCACAAAGATGACGGCCTATTACATTATCATACCAGGTAGCTGGGCTCTTCCGGGACTCAGACTTCTCTATTCCAAAGAAGCATCTTGGCTTTACCTTTACAGAAGAAAACTCTTGAAATGAGATATGAAGTGGGTCAGCGGAGCCAGAACTTTCAGGTCCTCAAAAGCACATAAAAGATATGGACTGGAGGCCAGAGGCCAGTGCTTGGCTGCTGCTTGGCCTCTTACTTTCCAGGGTTTTGCTACACTGGCCTTCTTTCAGTTCCTCGAACTAGCCAAGGTCTTCATGCCTTTTTATCTTTGTACATACTGTTTCTCTGCCTGAAATGCTCTTGCCCCCATACCTCCTTCAGATCTTAGCTTAAATGTCATTTCCTCAGGAAGTCAGTCCCTGCTAGGCATGGTGGTGCACGCCTGTAATCCCAGTGACTCAGGAGGCTGAGGCAGGAGGATCGCAACTGTGAGGCCAGCCTCAGCAACTTAGCAAGACCCTAAGCATCTTGGTGAGACCCTGTCTCAAAAAAGGGCTAGGGATATGACTCAGTGGTTAAGCGCCCTGGCTTTAATCCCTGGTACCAAAGAAGAAGAAAGAAAAGAAAGTCAGTCCTTGACCCCTCTCATATAAATTACACCCATCATATTGTTTTCCTTCATGACCCTCACAATACCCTGTCCATTTAGTATTTAAACTCTCCTGCTAGGAAAGTTCCACCAGAGCAAGAGCTATGCCTGCATCTAAAATTCACTTGGGTGTCTGGATGGGGTTGATTAAGAGAACCCAATAGAGGAGGTGGGGGCCGGTTAGGAGGAAGTTGTGGGTGTCCAGTGGCTTGGACCAAGATGATTCAGAGGGGAAACAGAAGAGAGAACTCTTCTAACATAAGGAATCGGGGGAGTTGGCCAAGCTGAGGGGGAAGAAGCATGACCTGGGAAGAAGAAAAATGCAGAGGAAATCCACCATGGCTAGGATGTGTTGATATTCAAGTGATGGATGCTTCAACTGAAAAACATCTTAGAGTCAAGACATTCACCTTTTACTTACAAGATGGACCTCAGTTCACGAATGAGGAAATCAAAACCAAGAAAGAGTAAATTTACTACACATGATCAGACATGCAGAGCCAGGACGGTAGTCCCATCTGCCCCGAGGACTCCAGGGCTTCGTGCTCTTACACGGTGCTCTGGAGAAGCACCCAAGAAATACACCCCAGACTAGGTGTGAAGGTGATGTGAATGTGACTCCCAGAGAGGCTGAACCAGAAGGAAAAGGAGCTGAAAACCAAGCTGAGCCTAACTTAAACCTGGCTGCTCTCCAGCTGGAGAGGAGAAGGAGGAGGAGGAGGAAGTCCAGGCCAAGGAAGAGACCCACCCCAGAAGAACCTGGCACCTTGGCCAGCAGGTCAGCAGGGCGAATTCTTTGCTGCATACTGATGAACACAGTGTCTTGCTAGTGAATCTGGGGCTAGAGGTGCAATTTTGTTTTGCTTTCTACATTCTGTCTACAGTTTTCCTAAGCTGACTTACTGGCCCTGGTTTTCTGGATATTGCATCTCAGACCTCCTTCCACTTTGTCTATCCTGACTTCATGGGGAGGCTGGAAGTACTCCCCCTACTGGGGCCAACTTCTTTTCAGCCCCTCATTGATGGAGTTGATCTAGAAGTCACCCCCTCCTGCAGCAGCCACCCAGGCCCCACTGGTCACCTAAGTGACTAGATATTAGCACATGGACTCCATTCATGCCCATCTAGTTGCAGTTGATTCTTGAGCTCTCTCCAGAAACCTCCAGAATTTCTCTCTCTACCCACCCCCCTCAGATATCCACTTGACCCTCCCCCCTCCTCCAGAGGTATGGCCAGACAGTGTGAGCTGCCCAGATGAGCCTCTGTGCAGTCCTGTTCTCTCAGAACCAAAGACCCCACCCTATGGGAGGGCCGAATATCAACATCTACTTTCCCCACTGCTTCTTACGCAAAGCTTGGCCAGCTGTTTCCAGGAGGTGACTTAGGAATAATGAAGGGCCTGGGAATATCTGTGCACCCAGGTGGGACCCTCTGAAAAATCACTGTTCTAAATCTGGAATGAGAGAAATGGCATTTCAGGACCAGGAGTGGGGTTCACTTTTCCCTGAGCTCTGTTGGGATAGCGCCCCAGGACTATCAGGAGTTCCAAGGCCTGCTTATGTTTGAACATGAACATAAATCTGAAAGGCAATCTAACTCCCCTGAGCTGAGCTGAGCAGGAGAACAGACTTAGAAAGAAATAATCCTGCTGGGCAGCAGCAATTGCTGATCACATCCTATGGCCAGTAGTATACAGGAATTTATATTTATTGCTCAGGTAGTGTCACATGATGGGATTTGGCAGGGGCAGTGAGGATAAACTGCAACTTTCTAGGCACATACTGGGTGTAGTACGTATTATTAAAATTAGGACTAGAAGATTCTAGTTCTGAATGAACAGAGGAGCTGTGGGTGCCCTTCTTTTGCCAAAAGTAACAGAAACAAACTAGCTAACTTAAGCCCAAAAGGAGAATTTATTATTTGGCTCTTGGTGTGTCATGGACTCTCTTGGCAATGTAGCACCTAAATCTCAAAAAGAACCTGAGCCAGGACCTGGAACATTGGTGCAACCCCTCTCTCTTTCTTGTCCTTGCCTCTCTGTCCAAACCAGCTTTCCATTGCCAATTCAGTTGGCAGAAGAGTATTTTAGCATCTCTCATTAATAGATGAATGAGAATAGAAGAATAATAGATGAATGGATAAGAAGTCCCCAGGCTGAAACAAAATCCCCAGTCCAACTTTAAATTTCCACAAGGGAATCTTTGGGACCTAGCTTGAGTTGGGAGCTTACCTCTACCTAATCACCTGTAGTCAGAGGACTGAGTCACAAAATATAATCCTGGTTGCCAGGGTTCTTTCCTGCAAAGAGAACGATTATTGTGAGTGGGAATGATACCTCAAAAGATGTCTATAACAGGGAACCATCAGCCTGCAAAGTTTGGGGCCAGTTACCTAGAGCCACTGAAGCTCCAGTTACCTGGGGCCAGTTACGTGAGCCACATGGCTTCCCTGTGCTATATGACCCTTATTCTCCTAGACTTATTAGCCCATTCCTGTGTCTCCTGCACCTGCACTCTACCTAGTCCAGACAAGAGGTACAGTAAATGTTTGCTCAGTGGATGAATTACAGTATTTAAACCTCCTTAGGATTAAACACTAATGACCCCATTTTACAAATGAAGACACTGAGACCCACAAAGGGTAAGCAATTTTACTAATGTTAAACATCTAGAGCTGGGACTGGAATCTTCAAGATCGATCTAGCTCCAAACCAGTATACTTTCCACTACTCAGTTATTCATTCAATAAACATTTATCGCACATGCAAGCGATATACCAGGTCTATTCCTATTCCTATTCCTGAGAATATAGTAGCCAATGAAAAAAAATCCTTTTTTCATGACATTTCGATTGCGGTGGCCCCCAGTGAGGCAGAAAATACTCCAGATAGATAGATAGATAGATAGATAGTACAAAAGAATACTAAGGGGGAAACAAAGAAATCAAGGTGGGGGGAATCAGAAATATTGGGGGAGACTGGAATTTTAGGGTGGCCTGAAGCTGAGGGAGGGAGCCACATGGGAGAAAGGCATTCCAGGCAGAGGGAACAGCCAGTGCAGAGGCTCTGAGGTAACAGGAACTAGGTCAGAGAGGGCCTTAAGAACCTGGAGGGACAGAGGGAGGGACTCAAGCTGCAGTGACACTACCTGCTCTACCTAACAATAGGATCACTCTGGCTTCCAGGGTGAGCAGAATGTGAGGTGGGAACATGGCAGAAGCAGTAGATGGCCCCCAGCTCTCCCTTCTCCTCCCAGCACTCCCACCCTTCATCTTCTAATGCTCCTGAGGGCAGATGGAATGTACACTTTCCCCAGCACACCCACTGCCACCACCTCCTCCTCCTGATCTTCATTACTGTCCATCTGAGCTGTCCCCACAACCTCCACTTTGAGGACAGAGGGCAACATCCCTGTGCAGAGCCTGCCTGTCCTTTAACTGCAAGTCATTTGACAAGACCCAGGACTGGAACAAAGATGTGCCTGGTCAATGTTTAAACTGAGGAAGCTTTTATGCTCCCCCACTTCAAACTCCCAGAAGAAAGGGAGGTTAAATCTTATGAGTCTACTACCCCAACTCTGCCTGGAGCTGCTAGACAGTGGGTCTGCCTGGGACTGTACCCTCCTTGGGACCCAGATGATAAATAAATGTCTGATGTGTGTAAGAGGAGGCCACAGGGCTGGGGATATAGCTCAGTTGGTAGAGTGTTTGCCTTGCATGGATAAGGCCCTGGGTTCAATTCCCAAGACCATACAAAAAAAAGAGGAATCCACAGCTGGCAAATCCTGCCAGGCCCTCTGCTCCCATGAGCCCCTTTATTCTAAAGGGACACCTTTATAATATTTTGCAAAGTGGCAAAATGAACACCTAAAACATCATCACCCCCACATCCAGCCTGCCCCACAGTGCTCAGCCTGCCCCAAGCTTTTCTTCAGAAGATGAACATCTAGAGCTGTGGCCCCCAGTGAGGACATAACCACAAGCCAAACGTGGCAATTGGGCATTTGAAATGTGGCCAATCTGAACTGATGCACTGTGGGTGTAAAATTTTCAAGACTTTGTACAAAATAAAAGATTGTCAAATAGCTCATTTGTAACTTGTATATTAAAATATATTGGGGAATTAAAATATATTCATTTTAATGTGTGAATTACACCTGTTTCTTTTGAAACATGTTATTGGGAACATTGTATTTACTTAGGTGCTCAAGGTGTGCATCTACAGATGTGTCGTCCTGGAGTTATGACAGCCTCCAGCCATCTCAACAGAGCAAAGCAAAGAGGAATACAAACAGCTCAGGCGCAATTATTTTGCAAACTGATAATGAAAAGATCATTTTGACTTTGTTTTTCTCTCTATTCCATTTACATCAGAAAGAAAGAGAAGGGGCCTTAAAAGGTCTAATTCCGAAGATAAATAACAGCCTGCACCCCCCCAACCAGTCACCCATTTGCCACTCCAGAGCACGGTGTGTGTGGTGCCAGATTAGCTGATTAGAAGCAGAACCCTGCCAGGTGTGGTGGCACATGCCTGTCATCCTTGTGACTTGAGAGACTGAGGCAAGAGGATCACAAGTTTGAGGCCAGCCTTACCAACTTAGTGAGATCCTGTCTCAAAAAATAAAAAGGGCTGGAGGTATAGTTCAGTGATAGAGTACCCCTGTATTTAATTCAAAGAAGGAGAAAAAGAATATCAACTATGTCCCTGTCACCCTTCAGACCCTCCATGGGCACCCTGCCCAGGCCAAATACCTCCCTTGGCATTAAAGACCCCGTCCCAAACCAAGCCTGAGCCAAACTTGTCCTTCCAGTTTCCTCTCACATGCTCCCTGCTCAAAACCTCTACACTGGTCAGTTCACACTTTATTTATTCAGTCAATCATTCAACAAATATTGACTGCTTCCCATGTGCAGGCTGAGCACTGGCTACTAGGGCATGATGGTTAGCAAGACAGGCACCATCCCTGTACTCCCTAGGGGCCACATATCTGGGGGGGGGGGGTTAAGAGGAAAGTAAATAAAGGGCATTAGGCCCACTGCAGTAAGAGAGTTGTGGGGAAGCACAGAGGCCATGCATGCACCTAAGCCAGCCTTAGGTTGGGGAGGGCTCCCTGGAGGAGGTGACATCTCAGCTGAAGAATCTGAGTAAACCAGACTGCGTCTGGGGAGTGGTAAATATTCCAGGTGGAAGGAACTTGAGTTCAAAATGCAAAGGGCAGGGTGGAGGGCAGAGCCTGCAGAACTGACTGACACTCATCCTGACTGGAGGGCGGTATGGCATTTATTGTCAAATGTTTATTCTGGGATCTCCCTTTTCCACTTGAAAGGCTTTTACTCCTCCTCTAGGCCTCCCCAGCAGGAAAGACTGGGTGCAGCAGGCCTGCTTCTGCCTGGCATTTGAGACTAGAGAATAAGCAAAGGGTTTGTGGGGCTCCAGCCTGGGAGGGTCAAGGGATGGAGGTCCTGGGCTGGGTTAGGGGATCCTGGTTCTGGGATTTGAGGTTGGAGTTGAGTTTTAGGGAGCTAGACTCAGGAACAGGAGTCAAGGTTGGGGCTGAGGGTAGGGTTGGGGTCTAGGATCTAAGTTCAGAATCTGGGTTAAAATTAGGAGTTAGTTTCAGGCCAGATGAGCAGTTGGGTGTAGAAAAGGAGCTGCGGCTGGGGGTGGGGGGGTTCTAGGTAGGGTTTGCAAGTGCAGCTGGAGTTGGGGGTAGGTTCCGAGGTAAATCTGAAGTGGGGGTTGGGTTGCGGCCCAGGCTCTGGGGCAGAAAGACAACATTCCCCCCCGCAGCGAATTGTGTTCGGAGCCCCAACAGCAGCTGACAAAATCCCCTCCCTTCCCAGGAATGCCTCTGCCCAGCAGAAGGAGCGCTGCCACGTCAGCCAATCGGCTTAGGCCCTGCCCTGTAAACAACACCTGTTAATCCCCCTCCCTCCAGGCTCACCTGAGTGCAGGTTAGGCAGGTGAAGTGCCTCCCCGGAAACGGAGCTAGAGCGCCCCACCTGCCCGGCCCTGCCTGCTCAAATCGGATCCAGCACGTCCAGGCTTCTCGTGAGTGCCCCACAGTCTCCCCACCCGCTCCGCCCCCACCTTCTCCCACTAGCTCTCGCCCTGAGATCCTCCACCCCACCCCCAGCCTGGCGCCCGCCGACCCAATACACCTGTGCCCTTACTTTCAGACCAGCGAGTCACAACCCAAGGGAATGCTGGGACAGAGTCCATGCCCCGCCCACGGCCCCTCCCCACCTCCCTTGGGGCATTAGTATCTGCCCCGCCCACTTCCCCTGCTGGGTAGCCCCAGCGGAGGGGTCGTGGAGCATGCGTACTTCCTCAGGGTGTACCCCTGCACAGTCATGTTATCATATCTGGAACGATCCAGGACCTATGCTCCGTCCTATCTGAAATCAGAGGGGTAACATCGGGTTCACTTATCCAAAAAGCATGCTTCAGCCTCTATGCAGACTCCAGGCCCCACTGGAATTCTGAAAGGAAGAGGTCAAATGACTCCCTTCCGTCCCTTAAGACAAATGTCACAGTCCTTGCTTTTTAGATAAGGAGACTGAAGCTCTAAGAGCTGAGCTCATGGGGCCCCCTGACTCTCCCCATCTCCTCTCCTGGGTGCAGAGGGCCCTGTCTGACCAAGCACACCCAACGCCTAGCATGCCAACAGGACCTGCTTATTTCTGATGTTTGTGGCAAATTGGGCTCCTTGAGGACAGGGACTGCACCTGCTTTATTTTTGCCCTGTGTGAGTCATGCTGGCTGTCCTCTAGAGGACAGGTTAAATGAGTAACCACTGTTAGGTCCCTCCCCATGTTTCCATGGTGGGGAGGGCTGGGCTGGGGTTCAAGTCCAGAGCCTTTCTTTTTCCTCAGCACTTTAAAGAAACCATGGAGGAGGATGACATGGGTGGGGTGTGGGTGAAAGTGGAGAAGAGTGGGGCAACAGAAAGCTTATTGGGGGTCAGGGCTGAAGAGGCAGGCACAGGGGGGCTACTGTAGGAACAGAATAGATAGACAGCCTGACTGGTGGACTGGGTGTGACAGAGGGAGACCAGCCCCCCTGGCTGAGAAGTGTGATGCAATCCTGAAGTTGGGAACACAGAAGAGAAGCAGGTTTGGGGTAAGATGACCAGTTTGGGTTGGGACCTGTTGCATCAGAGATGACAATGGGACATCACAATGACAGTTGACTTGGGAGGAAGATCCTGGTTGGAGATGGAAATTTGGGAACCAAAGTCTTTTCCTGCCAGGCTGTGAGATGAGATAGGCCTGGAAGGAGGGTATTAGGGGCCAGATTCTGACCCACAGAGAAGGAGGAGACTCATCTCTAAGAGAGAAGTTACAGAATCAGGCCACTGGTTCCAGAAGAGTTAAGTCATCAGCCCCCCTCCCCACAACTCCCCCCCAGGAACCAGTGGTGACAGCTGAGGCCATGTGAGTCTGGATCCTGAATGAGGCTTTATCTCTAGCTGTTCGTCCCATCGTCCACTGTGGCACCAGCTCCGTCGGCTGGCCAGGATGGGACAGGCGACTGGGAGAGCCAGAGCCAGAGAGGTCAGGGGCTGGGCAACGGGATTTCCTGGAAGGGTGTGGGGGTATCCTGGGAGGAGGGGAATTTTCCTGGGGTCACTGTAGAGGCTTCCCCAAGGGGTAGTGCTGGGGAGGAGACTTTCCCAAAGGGGATTCCAGAGGACACAGGGGAGGATACTCGGGGATCGTCCCCAAGGCTCCCAGGTGAGACCATGAAAGCTGGGTGGATGGGAGGTAACATCGAGATCCTTCCCCTGCAGGTGATGATGACTATAGCCTGGGCTGAGAGAGGAACAAGACTCTGGGCCTGCGACTGCCAAGCAGGTGGTAGGGGCACCAGGCCATGATCTGTACCCTCTGATCCCTGACGCTGACCTTCTGCCCTGACCTGCCTGACTAAGCCATGTCTGAACAAGCTCAAGCCCCTTTGGGCCGGGGGCTGCCCCCCGACATGCTGGCAGAGCAGGTGGAACTGTGGTGGTCCCAGCAGCCAAGACGCTCCTTGCTGTGCTTCAGCGTCGCTGTGGGCCTTGTGGCAGGCTGTGGGGCAGGTGGCGTGGCCCTGCTGTCCTCCACCAGCAGCCGCTCTGGTGAGTGGCGCCTAGCAACAGGCACTGTGCTCTGCCTACTGGCCCTGCTGGTTCTGGTGAAGCAGCTGATGAGCTCAGCTGTGCAGGACATGAACTGTATACGCCAGGCCCACCACGTGGCCCTGCTGCGCAGCGGTGGAGGGGCCGATGCCCTGGTGGTGTTGCTCAGTGGTCTCGTGCTGCTGGTCACCGGCCTAACTCTGGCTGGACTGGCTGCTGCCCCGGCTCCTGCTCGGCCACTGGCCACCATGCTGTCTGTGGGGATTGCCCTGGCTGCCTTGGGCTCGCTCTTGCTGCTGGGCTTGCTGTTATATCAGGTGGGCGTGAGTGGACACTGCCCTGCTACCCGTGCAGCTGCCCCCTCAACCCATAGTGGCCACGGTGGCAATAGCAGCATCTTCAGCATCTCAGGACAGTTGTCTTCTGGCCAGCGTAATGAGACCACCTCCAGCATCGCCAGCCTCATCTGATAGAGCCAGAATCCTCCTTCCCAGGACCTGTCTCAGCGTCTCCAAAACTGTGCCAGGACGTGCATGTGTGTGCTTGTGTGTGAATGTGTGTATGTCTCAGGGCCACATCAGCCCTTCACTGGGTGTGTGATATGGGATTAGGAGCCCACATGTACTCACATTCCACATCACAGGTTAGCGTGTGCCTCCTTGGAACTGCATGTTTGTGTCTGATGACTGTCACTCTGTCTATCTGGGTCTGAGTTCTCTAGGGAGAGAAACATCTGCAATCCCTATTTCCAACACCCCTCAACTCTAGCCTTGCCCGGCAATACCCGTCAAGGGTTTCCACAGGGTGACTGTTGTCCATCCCAGAGACTGCACCAGTGACCGCTCATCAAGAAGAATGACTGGTGGCAAAGCAGAAGGAACAGGGGCTCCAGGATTGAAATCCTTCCAACCCCCAACCCAGGCACCTAATAGCTGGGAGATTCAGCAAGCAACTTAGTCTCTCTGGCCTTTTCTAGAGGTCAGGTTGCCACTGTTTGTGAGAATTAAATGTTGTCATGAATGGAAGGACTGGGCTCAGGAGAGATATGCATGTACAATAAAGTGGTGGCTGCTGTTTTCATTGTCATCTTCACCTCACCATCTCACCTGGGAGATCCTCCTTCTCCCTAGGACACACACCACTCCTCCCAAGGCCAGCTCTTCCCTGCCATGTCAGTTCATAAAGGGAGCCTTGAAGGTGGCCTGGGCCTGGCCTGGGGTTTCTCCTCTCAGGTAATAAGGGGAAGGAGGGGAAGAGTGTTGAATGGCTGTTCAGGTTTGGGAAGATAATGAGTTTGTGGTTCCAGAAAAAGGGTGGAGAACCTGAAGAGTCCTTCACGTTTGTTCACGTGCTGATTCAAGGGGAGGCCGGAAGCCTTGGGGTGTTCTCAGCTGATTTCTCTGGAGACTGCACCTCCTTTACACTGTCTCCCTTCAGCTGACTCCCTGAGGGTGACTGGGAGGCTGAATCTCCCTACCCCACCTTGGAAACCAGAACATCCATTTAGTCACTACACCAGCTGGCCTGCTTGTGGGCTCCTGGGCATAGGAGAGGAGTTTGGGATTCTGGGGTGCTAAGAGTCACTTCCTGCCCTGGAAGGAACCTGCCCTTCTGTGGTGTGCTGGCACTTCCTGGGTGGTAGCAAGACAGCCCCACTGGAATCAGCCCACAGCCGGGCTGCTTACTGCTGCTTCACATCCTGCTGTGCAAGGTGCAGATGGAAGGTGCCAGAGAGTCAGGGAAAGAGAATTGTCTCCTAAGAAACATTACACTAGAGGCCCTCACGTGAGAAAATTGCTTTCAGCAGGCAAGGGCGGGCCTGTCTTCTGGAAAAACACAGGGCTGATGGTCAAGGAGAAGAGAGCTATAGGGACGGGGCAACACGGGCAGCCCAGAGGGAAAGCCAGGGATGTCCAAGAACACCTAGTCATGCTCCACACATGCAAAATGGAATTTTCTGCTACCTTGAAGGAGCTCCTCTGTCTCACCTGGAAGTGCCACCAGTCACCTAGTATTCAAGTCAGAGATCTCAGAGTGGTGCTAAATGGTGGTACCTTCACAGTCTCTTCCCCCAATTCCGTCAATAAATCACCAATTTCTCTGATTCCCCTCATAGATATTTGCCTGCTAATCCACATCTGTATCCTACCTAGCAGGAACTCCCTTTGTCTTTGCCTGAATTGAACAACTGCCTCCTTACTACGCATTCCCGACCTCTTCTCTTTTTGCCTCTTAAATCCACCTCCCCCTGCCACATGCTCCTGTATACACTTAAGTCAGAGTGATCATCCTGAAACTAAGATGGGAACCTACCTTAAAATCTTTCCGTGGCTCCCCACCACTCACACCCTTCCTAACATCATATGATCTCATTCTCCCCTCAAAGACCCCCCAAAACCAGCCACATCAAACTATTTCCACAAAATGAATCCACTTGTCCGGGTCTTAGATGTTCTGTTTTCTTTGCCTTCTTGTTCTTCAAGACCCTGGCTTGAAGACCCTCAAATGCAGACAGTAGCTGCAATTCTTTCTTTGTGTACTTGTCACCTCAACTAGGTGATGAGCTTCTTCTGGGTCTCGCTCACCTATGTATCCCTAGTTCCCAGCATGGGCCTGACACATGGTAGTGGCTTTGTGGGATGGATGAAGGACTGTGGCTTGGGCAGATGACAATGTGTATGCAAGGGGCAGGGAGACCCACCTTTAGCTGGGAAGGATAGAGAAGTTAGGCCATGGGGCACTTGACTCTGAATCCTTCCTCACTCTTCCTAACTTCTCAAGAGGGATCTACCCCTATGCCAACTCCTGGACTGTGGGAGGACCACAGAATGCTCCTGTCCCATAATACAGGGAGAAGTACCTTTTCCTTTCATCTGAGAAAAGTTAGACCCTCCCAATATTCCTTTTAAGAAACTAAAGGAGGGCTGGGATATAGCTCTGTGGCAAAGCGTCTGCCTTGCATTCACAAAGCCCTAGGTTCGACCTCCAGTTCCAAAAAAAAAAGAAAGAAAGAAAGGAAGGAAGGAAGGAAAAGGAAAGGAGAGGAGAAACAAAGAGGCTTAGAAAATGGGGAGAGGGCAGGGCCACACAGTTTAAATATCTGACTGAGCATCAGCAAGGCCAATGTCAGGTTTCTCTGAAAGGACACCAGATGGAGACTGTGGTCTGTGCCCCCAGAGGGCCTACTCCACGGGATAGTGGAAGTCAGCACCTCTCCATCCAAACTTAACACCAGACAAAAGATGGTGAGAACTGTACCAGGGTCCCTTGATCACTAACACAGGCCTGCCACCACCCCTGCCTTCAGCTGCAGGGGTTCGAATCACTTAGCTGAACTCCTGCCCAGTCCACTCTGCCACCAGCTGTCTAATAGCCTCTCTGCTCACTTGCAAGCGGGGCCCCCCTACACACCCACCCCTACTTGCTGTCTGCACCTCCCTTGTCCTTTAGTTAAGATTCTTTGGCCCCCAAAGTTCTTCACAGATGACTCCACCTCCCAATCCATCAGAATAGGACAGTATGTGATGGGATCCCTCCTCTCCTACTCCTGCTGGTCAGAGGAATGGCTTTGTCAGGCCAATAGAGGAATTTGAACTTTGTCCTCAGGGCACTGAGAAGCATAAAACAATTGTAATCAGGGAGTAGTGTGGCCAGGATAGGATTTAGGCTGTGCTGGCTGCTGTATGGCACTGGGGCTTGGCCTTGGGAAGAAAAGAAGAAGTGGCCAAACAGCCCAGAGAAGTACTGTCTCTGCTGGCCCAGAGGGAGGAGAAGCAACTGACCAAGCAATAGAGGTTGAGGAGAGAATCCTAGAAAGAAGGAATAGCAAGAAGAAGGGCCCAGAGGCCAGAGGACCTTGGCTCCTTGGAGGCACCAGGGAGGGTTGGCCATGCTGGAAGAGGCAAGGAGTGGGGCCAGAGAGTGCTATGGGCCAGTCCCAGGGCTTCAGAATCCCCTTAGCAGGCGGGCTAGTTTTCAGGGACAAGAGGAAACCAGTGGAGAGTGTCAGGCAGAGAAATGGCCCGGTTAGAATTGTGTATGATCACTCTGCCCACAGTGTAGAAAATTAATTGGAAGGGGCCAAAATGGAGGCAAGGAAACCAGTTAAGGACTTTATGCAGGTGTGTGATAGTGGGGCTTAAACTGGGGAGTGGCTGCTGGGATAAAGTTCAAGGAGAACAGATTCAATGGATGTTCAGAATCTGACAGGTCTTTGTGACTAGCTAGTAAAGCTTTTTTGAGATGGGAGAGATAAGATGAGTTAAATGTTGATTAAAAGAAGGGGTGAAGATACATGGTAGGGAAGTCAGTCTTAGAACAAAGTCCCTGAGCAGGGGGTGGTGGGTGGAGCCACAAGATGGAGAATTGGACTTGCAGCTCCATTTTAATAGGAAAGAAGAAAGGATATGGAGTTTGAAAACAGAAAATCGAGAGAGGCCTTGACCAACAGCTATTCTCTGCAAGGCGAAAGCAGCATTAAAGAACTGCTATGGAGAAGGGGGAAGGATCTGACCAAGAAAACAGCAAGATTTGTGGAAGTTTTGAGAGCCTTCATGAGGCTCGGGACCAGGCATCACCAAAGGCCAAGTTGCAGGCGCAGGGAGCAGCTGACCCCAGGTGAGAGTGTCGCCAAGAGTATGCAATGCTGAGACCATGGACAGGTAAGTTGGGGATACAGGCAAGAGACAGTGGCATAACAAACCTCAAAATTTAAGCTGGCACTGGGTGAAAAGAGAAGAAGATGCTGATGAGTAGGGTAAGGTGGTGAAAGCCTATAATTCCAGCGATTCGGGAGGCTGCAGGAGAATTACAAGTTCAAGATCAACCTGGACAAATTGCCAGACCCTGTCTCAAAATAATAAATAAAATAAAAAGAACTAGGGATGTAGCTTAGCAATAGAGAACCACTGGTTCAAAGAAGAAGATGCTGATAGAAGCGGAGAAGTGTGGTCTGGACTTAGAAGCTCTCATCAGGTGACAGGTGAGGTGCAGAGAGACAGAGAGAGAAACTTGACACATTTCCCTTGTGTTATTCAGCTTCCCACTGTTGTGAAAAAAACAACTAAGAGGAAGAAAGATTTGTTTGGGTGCTTAGTTTCATAGGATTCAGTTCATGGTCAGCTAGCTTCAAGGCAAAAACATCATGGTGGAAGGGCATGGGGAGGGGACAAGATAGAGTCCCCAAGGGCACACCCTCAGTGACCTGCTTCCTCTGACCATACCCCACCTGCCTCTCTGTAGGCCATTCAAGTTATTAATCCATCAAATGGATTAATCCATCAGTGAGGTACAGCCCTCATGATTCAATCATTCCCTTAAAAATCCACCTTGGAATATTATTGCACTGGAGACCAAGTCTTCAAACATGAGACTTTGTGGGACATTCCAGATCCAAACCATAAGATTTCCCCCTTGGCTTACCTGGAAAACTCAACCATGATGCCTGAATATCTGGATAATGGAAGAATATGTTCAAGAAACTGCCAAATCTGGTCCAGTTCAGGTGGTTCTCATACCATATCCAGTCACATCCCACATGAGGCCTCAGGCCTTCTGAAAACACTGGTTTTCCCTAGAGAAACTTCCTCCAGGGCCCAAGGGACCTGCACATGCCCCCTCGTGCTCAGCATCCTTCATAAGGACAGGGGATGCCTTCTTGACTCTTTTCCAGGACCTGTGAGACTCCTCTGGTCATAGCCTTAGAAGTCACCTCCAGAATCTGAAGGACCACAGATGCCAAAGTCCAGGCTTTGGCATGAAGCAGACCAGTTCCACCTTCACAGCCTGCTCTCCCAAACCTGGAGCTTGTACTCTGAAATTGCTCGGCCCCTGTTTGCTGAGATGGGGGTGATAGGGGAGCCAGCCAGGCAAGGTGGTGGTGGGTCTACACCTAGGACATTCCTGCTGTGAGTCCGTTTTATCCTTACTAAAAGGTGAGACAATGCTGTTATTGCTGGGTGAACAGGCAAGTTACAATTACAATTGCTGGGATACAGGCAAGAGACAGTGGCATAACAAACCTCAAAATTTAAGCTGGCACTGGGTGAAAAGACAAGAAGATGCTGATGAGTTGGGTAAGGTGGTGAAAGCCTGGGGCCAGACATGTGAAAATGATTTAGTTTCAACATTCAGTCTAGAAAGCAAGGTTGCCTGCCCAGCAGAGCTATTATAAGATAAGTACAGGTACAACAACAATATGTCATTGTTCCTCGTGTTAATATTATATTTACGGTGTCAGAGGTTTTAATCTAAATCCTTTGTTGTTCTGAATAGATCTTTCCTATCCTGGGAAACAGAAAAATTCAAGTCTCCAGCAGGAAGTGAATGAGGAGGGTGGCAGTTTGGCAAACTCCCCACCCTTGGGATTAAGGCTGGCTACCTTTGTGAGGAGCCAGTGCCCTGGGGGTGCGGGTCAGGATACAGCTAGAGCACTTGTTCTACTTTATGTTTAGAATTCTTTTAGTCCAGCTAACAGCCATGTGAAGCAAATACTTATGATCCCCACTTTACTGAGATGACGTTAGGGAACTCAGGGTTTGAGTAATTTGCCAAGATCACACAGCATGTGATCTGGGATTTTGAATCCAGGTAACCTGTGCTCCCAAATCACTTTGCTACTGAGCTAGAATGCAGCTGGAGTTTCTTACACTTTGTGGCTGTGGCTTTTGTGACACCTTCCTCTTCCCCCCACCCCCACTGTCTTTGACCACCACACAAGATAAGGGATGTGTGGCCTTGCCTTTGGAAGCAGCCAGGAAGCTGGGTTGTCCTCCAAAGACATGCTGAGGTTCCCGGGGCATACAGGTAGTGGCAGGTGCTGAGGAGTGAAAGACAATGTACAGGGCTAGGGACACAGGCAGGTGAGGACCAGGATCTGACGCCAGACCAGACAGAGAGGCCCTGGTGAGTGCCAAGCCTCCCAACAGTTCTAGCAGCTCTGGTCCTCTGAGCCTGCAGATCCAGTTCAAGCACCCTCTGTGCCTGGGGCCAGGCATGTGAAAAGCAATGGGAACAGAGTCTTCCAAGGAATCCAATGAGGCCTAGATAAACAGGATTCAAGATTCCTGTAACTCCAGGATCCTGCTGAGCCCAGTTTGGCAGGTTCTAAGAGAAATCCTAGCTAGTGGAACCTTGTGGGTTTGGGGCTCAGGAAAAGCAACTGCTAATCTGGAATAGAGAGCTTACCTTCTTCTGGACCCCTAGAGGTACTGACCCAGATGTCAAAAAGTATGTGAAAATAAGAACAGCAAAGTTATTCTGTTACAGAACTGTGTGTAGGGCAGCTCCTCTGTGGTGGGAATCAAAGAAACTCAAATGCATGGGACAGGCTCAACTGTGTTTGCAGCAACACCTCCCTCAGAAGCAAGGAGCCCTCTGTCTCTTAGGCCAACTGTTCGGGGCCTTCCCTGTGAGTCTCAGGCTATAGCAGCCTCTGCTTCTCCCAAGCCTTTGAGGGTCAAACCTCTGGACTCAGCAGCAATTGCTAGGTGGGCTGCATGAGCTTGCTGCTTCCTTCTAGCCTTCCCTTCCAGGCCTTCCTCTGCTGACAATCCCTGAGATAAGGTCCCCACTCTATTCCAGAACCTCCTCTTACTCTGGCCCTCCCTGGCCATCTCAACTGTTCCTGCTTTCAATGACCACAGTGCTGATTATCCACAAACCCATGTCCAGAGACTGGACTTTTCTCCCCATGAGCCCAGTTGTCCCTGGCATCTCCCGCTGGAAATCCTGCATTCAACATTGAACCACCAATCCCCCAACCTACTCTTCTTCATTGCACCCAGTTACTAAGCCAGAAAACAGGGCAACTGTATCGATACCTTCTGTTCCCCATATCCCAAATCAACAAGTTCTGTCAACTATGCCTCCTTGTCTCTGGAGTCTCTCTGTTCCCCTAGCCACACCTTAGCTGGTCTTTGAATTTCTGTCTCTGCACAACAAGATGACTTTTCTATCATGATTATATAACACACACACACATACACACAAAGTCACAGTTGAGCCTCAGTTGCTCTCAGGCTGAACTGTGAGCTTTGCATCTCAGCTTCCAAAGCTCTAATGAATCCTCTCAAGCTTCATGGCTGCCACGGGCACCCCCGGACACTAGACTCAAGTCCTCCTTAACCTTCTGCTTGTCTCAAGCCCCTCCCTGTGTAAAACACACCAACATTTTTCTTCTTTCCCTCAAATACTGACACTGCATCCTGGTGGACACATGGAAAGGTGGCCACCTGGCTTGTGAGAACTGCCCCTTGTCTGGGAATGATCTGGAAAAAAAGACGTGGACCACTCAAATCATGTGAATGCTATAGGACCCTGCTTCCTAGTCATAGCGGATTGGCCCAGCGGTGAATACTTGACCCAAATTGGCCAGATTCTCTTGCTCAAGAACTTGAAATTTGGATTCAAGAATTTGAGTCCTAAGCAGAGAGAGTCTCATCAATGCCCCTAAGTGACGAGCACAGATTACAATGCCTGAGTTCCAACCACTAAGACCACCTATATCCAAGTCATCCTTTTATTTTCTTACTGTCATCCATGAACATTGTTTATCTCTCCATTTATTTACTTTCCCACATTCTATATTGGTACATTATTGTTGTACATAATGATGTACATTTTTATTTTTTTTATTACATATTCATACTTTCACACAATATAACAATATAATTTGGCCAATATCACACCCCGGCAGTTTACCCCTCCCTTTCCTCTACTGATCTCCCTTTGATTTTCATGAGATTCGCCCCCACCTTTCTTTTCCTTTTTCCTATCAGCTGACCCTTTGATTCCACACAACAGCCAGAATTCTTCTCCAAACTCCTTTCTATTGTTTGCAATTAGAGAAGCTTAACTCAGGTCTCTCCCATCTTAAAACTGCCTTCCTTGCTCTTAAATTTCCCCTCCAAAATCATGACCCTCTCCCTCTCCTCTTTTGCCAAGATTCTTGGTAAAATCTTCCACATCTGTCTACTTCCTCACCTTTCATCCATTCACTCCTCAGCCCATAGTAATTCAACAATACAACTCTCCCTCGGAATCTAGAATTACAAGGGGTTGGTTCCAACAGATACCAAAATCCACAAATGCTCAAGTCCTTTAAATAAAACAGCATCATGTTTGCATATAACCTATGCACATCCTACTTCATAATTTAAATCATCCCTAGACTACCTATAGTACCTAATACAATGCCTGTACATTAGCTCATCCCCATGGACTCATCATAATACTTGTTAAATGGCAAATCCACATTTTACTTTTTTGGATATTTCTGCAATTTTTTTTCCCAAATAGTTTCAACCCATGGTTGGTTGAATCCAAGGATGCAGAACCCATGGATATGGAGATCTGTGGTATCTATTTAGCATCCATGTCATGAGAGAATCTAAAACTGAAACAAGGACTTGAGAGGCTTCACTTTTGCCTGCAAATGTCCAATGGTTAATTTAAAACAGGATTAAAAACTTGGCATCTCTGCCTCCATTTTACTTCTATCTTCTTTGCTCTGAGGCACCTTAGATTCCAGAAACAACAGATCTTATCGATAAACATTTTATGATAGAGGGAACCACCCCCTCCCCAGGCAGTAATAACTTTCTTAGGGTAAGCCCTGATTGACCAATCCTGACATATGATGGAACAGACCACCTGACCAAGATCACTGCTTTGCCAGCTGTGCAAACCCTCCAGCCATAAAAATGTCCAACCCTTACCCTCATTTGTCTTCTTGTAAAACTTCAAAGTCATTGTCAGACCCTTAAAGACAGAGCTGCTGGCAGCTGGAAGTTTGAGATGCTTGTTCTCACTTTGCCTTCCCAATATGGCTATATTGATTAAGATTACTTTCCTGCTTTTTACCATTACCTTTCTATTTGGTTTTTGGGGTGTGTGGCAGGATCTGATTTGTTGAGACCTCCCTAGCTAGACCTCTGGCCTAGGACTCCAGTAACAAGACTAGAGAATAAGATACAACCTGGAGACTGAGAGAACTCACAGTCTAGCTGTGGGGAAAGGCATGATGAAGGGTGATATCAGTTGTCATAGAAATTAAAATAAAACATGGCCGGGGCAACATGGAGAAATTCTCAGGGTGTGATTGAGGGAGGTGCTCATGAAGGGTATCCTGGTGCAAGGGACCTCGAAGCAGTGTCTTCCAGCTGTGAATGATATGTATCTTTCAGGTAAAATATAAATGAATGATGACTTTTTATGTTTATCCAAAATGAAAACAGATTTATTAATTCCTGTGAAAAACAATATATTACAACCAGATCACCCACTTTATTGATACGAAATATATTCATTAGGAAACTTGGTACTGATTTCACCTGCTCAAATGCACCATCTGGGCACATCTGAAATGCTGGCAGGTAGGCAAGCAGGCCATAGAGGGCCTGTGGGCTAGAATTATCAGAGGGGACTTAGAGAAGGGTACGGCAGCCCAGGCTGAGGAACAACCTGAGCAAAAACTTCATCTAATTAAGAAGGGAGTTAAGTAGGGGAAGGCAAAAGAGGAAACAAGAGGTCCACGGAGGCCGGTCACAGAGGGCCTTTTCTCCATACTCATAGGGTTGTTAGGCTTTTTCCAGGTACAGCAGGGAGTCATTTAGAGTTATTGAGCAAGAGAAGGTCATTGTCACTTGTGGCTAGTGTCAGGAAGGAGAGAATTGCACTACTCTTGGTCAACATTTAAGTCATTGTCCCCTCTGTCCCTGAGGCTTGAGGCTCCTATTTAGCATCGGCTGTCCTTAAAACTGCCAAAGATCAGGGCTCAGAGGGAGAAGCGGTCCCTGCTCCCCTCTGTCTCCAGCTCACCAGCCCCAGGCTGAATGTAATTGTCCTCAATGAAACCATCATCATCCTCATCTTCACCCACCTCTGGGCGGTTCCCATTTCCTGTTCTGGGCAGTGGGCGGTGTCGGTAGCTGGCATAGTAGCGACGGCAGACATGGAATTTGGCAGCAAGTGCAAGGAGCACAGAGAAGACCACAGCCCCCAGAACAACCCCTACCAGCACAGGCCACGCCCGGCCCCCAGTGCCCAGTCCAGGGGTCGTGGATATTACTGCGGGGAGCTTCGAGGGCTCCACAGGGGCTGCAGAGAAAGAGAAGCATTATAGGTGGGAAACTGAAAGGAGGGTGGGCAGGGTCCTCCCCCAATCTCAGCAGCTAAGAGAACCCACCCTCTCCTCATCCACCGTGTGCTGTCACTCACTTTGGTTTGTCCCATTCATGGAAGGGCCTGATGACATCAGTGAGCCTCAACCTCTGCCAGAGGCCTATGCCTCTGTCCTGGAAAATACAAAGAGGTGTGGGTGTCAAGGATAGACAGAGAGCATATATTCCAGGTCACACAGCCATGTTAGGGCATGGCACAAATGCTGGGGCCTGGACAACTCACCACATCACTTGTCCACAGAAGAAACAAGCCGAGTATGCAGAAACTGGTTGTACGTTCCTAAGGGTATGAACATCATCTCCACCTTACAGAAGAGGATGCCGAGGTCCAAAAACTAACTCAATCAAAGCCCTAGAATTTGAACCCAGGTCTCTGACACCACAGCCCAGTCTGCTATGCTATTTGGCTAAGGATGGGACATGGAGGCAGAGGCTGTTCGTGGCTCCCAAAGGTTGGACAAGAGCAGTTGTTTGGAGCTACCTAGACACAGGCAGACCACATGAGAAGGCCAATACCCCCTTACCCTACCCAGGTTAGGGGCTCCAGACATAGCCAGGGCAGCCCTGAACCTCTGCTCCCCGTACCACTGCTGCCACACCTCTGCCCTCAAGCTTTCCAGCAAACCCCCTCTACTCATCTCCACCCACAGAAGGCCCACACTGCCCCCAGAGGGAGGATCATGCCAGAGACTAACTATTCCAGCAAGGGCCTCCTGAGTCAGGAAAGGTTACAGATGAGGGCCACCTGGGCAGGGAACTTGCCAGAGGAGCACCCAGGTGAGGGGAATAGCTGGAGGAGCACCTGAATCAAAGGCATGTGGGGAGGCCCACCTGGACCTGCAGCAGAGCTGGAGGAAGAACTCCAACGTTGGGAAGTACCTGGGGAGAGACAGCCCAGGAAGTACCTGGGCTGGGCAGCATCTGCAGGTGGAGCACCTGAATCAGAGGAGTCCCTGGACAGAGTAGCCAGGCTAGGGAAGTACCTATAAGGAAGCACTTGGTGTAGGGAAGTATTCTGTCCTATTCTTTAATACAGATAACCGAGTGACACCCTCACCCCTCACATCCAAACTGCCATCAAGCCCCATCAGTTCTTCCTCTAAATGTCTAGAGTGACCTGTTCCTCCCCTCCCCTGACAGCCACTGCTGTACCCAAGCCACCTTTTCCTTGCACCTTTTGCCATGATCTTTCCGCCACGACCTCCTAAATGATCTTTCCCTGCCTCTAGTCCACTCCACAGAGCCAACACTGACCCTATCACCTACTTAAAAGCCCTTCAAAAGCTCCAAGCCTCTTAGGGCTGCAGGCTGATGGCCAGCACGTCTTCCCAGGCCTCGCCATCAATCCAGCGTGGGGTCCTCAGGGCAAACAAACTCTCCTACCTCTTTGCCACAGGTCCTTATCCACACTCAGACACACACCCACCCTCTACCTCTAACCACCCTCTCCACACTTTTTTGAATCTCCATCCCTCAAGGCCAAATCAGATCATCCTGCCCCTGAGGTTTTCCAAGGATTCCCCCGAAGTGGCCTCAGTCCTGTCCTGCTCAGGGAGTCACAAGTTAGAACCGGCTATTTCCAGCCAAGCAGCTCTCTGGGAACAAGGACTTGGCTGGCTGATCAGCATCAAGGTGCATGCGGGCAGAGCTGCCCTTTGGCGGCTCAGCAAGTTAATGAAATGAATGGGGAATGGGGGCTGGGGGCAGGGAAGGAAGGAGAGAGTGAACTTATGGGGGAGGGGGGAAGGACACATCAGAAAGGCCGAGGTATACAGTTCATTCATTCATTTGCAAGCATTTCTTGGTCGCCTGCTGCGTATCTCTCCCCAGGCACTAAGTTTCCCCAAATAAGAGTTTGTTATAGTGAAATGATTTGAATTCAATTTGACTTTCCTAAGATTTTACTCCAATTCCTCTCCTCCCTGCCTGTTTCTATGAATCCTTCCCAAGGACGGACAGACAAACAGACACACACACACACACACACACACACACACGCCCTGCCCCCTCAGGTCAGATAACCACACACCCCTCTGATCTGCACAGACACACCCCCACCCTGATCTGTAGTTTCCTTGTTGCTCTCAGGAGCCCCTGGGAATCTACAGAGAGTCTGTGCACCCTCACCCACGCCCCCCAATGTCTCCCCACTCTGCTCCCACCTTCAGGAACTGGGCACAGTCCGTGGAGGTGGCTTCCGGCTGGGCCGGCAGAACTTGGACAGGTGGGCGGGACAGAGTTACCACTTGACTCACCTGGGAAGGCGGTGGGTGGGGCGGAAGCAGCAGGAGAAGGAAGGGGAGGGGAGGGGAGGGGAGGGGAGGCCAGGGCAGAGCAGGGCGGCTAGCAGCGCCTCCCGCAGGGTAGACTCATCCCACATCTTCACCCCCAATACTGGGAGGTGGGTGTACAGCTGGAATCTGGAGGAGGGTCCAGAAGGCCCTAATAGAAGCAGACTTCAGCAGGCAGCTACTCAGACTCGTGGCCCTGATAAACAAGTAAATTTCCTGTGATGGGTACAAAGTCCAGAGCTGAAGGGAGCTTTGCAGGCCTGAGAAGGAGGTGGGCCGGAACTGCAGGGGGAGGGGGAGAGTGACCTTCCCAGGCAAAGCGAGATGGACCAGACTCTCTAAAATTTCCTGCAAGTGTGTGTGTGTGTGTGTGTGTTTACCCAATTTGGGCCTTCATCTGGATCTCAAGGTTCCCTGTGACCCCATCAACCAATTCTGGGCCTCTCCAGGGCTGCTCCTTCTTGCCTTGCACCTCATCCCTGGGCCTGGTGCCTCCTTGTCCTTCAAGATCCAGTTCAGGAGTCACCTTCCCTGAGCCCTTGAGCCTGGTAAGGCCGCCTGTGGCATGCCCGGAGCACCCTCTGTATCACAGCATTTCGACCCACCCGCTTGTACTTCTCTTTGTGCTGCTTCCCGATTAGCGATTAGCGTGGGAGCTCTCCCAGGGTGAGAGGCAGTCTCTTGGGAGTCCCTGGGTTCCCAACACCCAGCACAGGGCCTGGGGTGAGGTGGGCTCTTGGGGAAGACGGATTACCTGGGCTCAGGCACAAATGGGCCAGGATCCACTGGGTCAGACAGGACAGGACACAGCTGGAGCAAGGGCTGCGGAGGATGGTTGCAAAGGCCATGTTAAGAAAAAAACTCTGAGATGCCCTCACTTTAACTACACAGGGCTGGGGATGAAAGGGAGGCCAGATGGGGAAGTTAGATCAGAAATGAGCTACAGGCCACAAGAACCAAAGTGTGTTTTTACCTTCTTGAGCTCTGTTAAACCCTGGAGTGCCGCCGTGTCCTGCTTACAGGTTGCTTCTCCATCATGACTGCCTCCCTGTCCCGAAGCCTTGTCTGGCCATGGGGTGTGATCCCAGCCCTCTCATCTATAGCCAGTATGGGTCTGGTGTGAACAACCAGGCTGCCTTCCTTAGATTTTCATAATAAAGTACTCTGGCATTTTCCCAACCACTACTGGTCCTTGCTGGTGGGGGCTGCATCAGCTTGTTCCAAGACAAGTCCATTCTGGCAAGCCTGGTAATGGCTCACCTTTCCTCGCCAAGATTTCACAGTCTTGTGAGTCATGTTCAACAGGGACAACCGTGCTGGAGAGCAGAGGCCTGGAATGTCTCGGGATGGAGTTTCAACTCACTGCCAGGAGCCCCTTCCGACTTCTCCCTGATCTGGCTTACACCTGCAATGCCTTCCCACACTTCCCCTCCCTGGATTTGTGTGTTCTGCTCTTTTCCTGGGCCCCTCCCTACTCCAATGGCACCTCCGACCCCTCCCCGACATCTGCATCTTCTAACTGCTGAATTATTCTGAGCAGGCCTCCTTACCTTGCTGGTTCCAGCTACCAAGCCTCATTTATCTAGAAGCCTTCCCTGACATTCCCTTGTCTGGGTGACGTGCCCTCCTCCGTGCCCCATGCCATGCCCCATGCCAGCAGACCTCAACCCTTCTCCTCACAACCCTGACCACCAACCACCTCGTGTGGTGATTTTCTTTTTACTTTCTCCCACAAGCCTGTGATCTTTGGATGTGGGGTCTGTGTCTAAATTCTCATCATATCACCAACTCCAAAATGGCAACAATAAATACTTATGAAATGAATGAGAGGAAAGTCAATATTAATCCAAATGGAGCAAGAGGCGCCAAGAAAGGTGGGTGTTTACTTTATTTTTGAAACAAGGAAATCATAGGATTCAGAGGGGCCTGGTGGCACCCACATATAATCCTTACAACTCTGGAGGCTGAGAAGGGAGGGTCTCAAGTTCAAGACAAGCCTGGGGAACTAGCAAGACCCTGTCTCAAAAGGAAAAATAAAAAGGTCTGGGAGTGTAGTGACCCTGGATTCAGTACTGGAAAAAAAAATCATAGGATTCAACAGATATCCACAGAACACCTGCATGCCCCTGCCACTGCATTGTTCAAAAAAGAGATATAACATGCCCTAATTCACATACTATAAAATTCACACTTTGTAAAGCATATCATTTATAGCAGTATGTTGGTGGCACTGGGCAACCATAGCTCTATTTCCAAAGCACTTTCTTCACACCAAAAGCATCCCCTTCCCCCTCCTCCAGCTTCTAGCAACTATTAATCTGCTGTCAGTCTCTATGGATTTGCCCATTCTGGATATGTCACATGGATGCAATCACATTGTGATTATTTAATGGACTGTCTCATTCGATCCTCATAACCAGGCTATGAGATAGATGTTATTTATCCCTTTAACAGGTGCAGAAAATTAGGCTGTGAGAAGGCAATTGGCCTGAAGTCCTGGAGAAGAAGAAAATAAGCAAAAGGTCCACACATCCACCTGTCAATCCATAAGTGAAAGAAAATTTCTTGAATGCCCATGAGAGATCCACATCCGGTCCATCCTGCTCACATTGTAAAACAGCAGAAGGCAATCTGCTGGATGCCCCCGTAACCTGGAGAACAGAGAGAAGGCTGGATATCAACTTCTGCTGGCTCTTCAGCCAGGAGCTCTGATGCAGTGAGCAACTTCCATGACAGCCCTGGCAACCATGTGGTCCGCTCTGAGCAAGCTACTAGGATTAGAGTTAGTGTCATTGTAAAGCTTTTATTCTAATGGAGAAGATGGACAGTACAGAATTAAAGAAACAAATAAGACTATTTCAGATGGTGGTGAGTGTTATGGAGAAAATAGCTTCATGTGAACATGAGAAGAGATTGCTACTTTAGATGATCTCACTTAAGATCATCTAAAGAGGGGACTCATTTAAGAGGGAACCTTTGAACCAGGATCTAGATAAGAGTAAGATAGCAACTACACTAAAGTCTGGAGAAAGAGCATTCCGGGCAGAGGGAACACACAGGAAGACACTAAGAGGTGGGAGCGTGACTGGCTGGTTCAAGTGGACAGAAAGGAGCCTGGGAGTGGAGTGCAGGAAGGTGACTGGGGGAGAGTCCTCATCCCCCGTGGACCTCATTCACTGCTGGTTTGCCTCCAGCAGGCCAGGATAGAGCAGAGAGGCAAGCTAGAGAGCTGGTGCAGTCATCCAGGGAGAGGAGATGTTGTTTGGGGGAAGACAAGGGGCCTGGCTGTGGGAGAAATCCTCAGGTCACAGATATATTTAAAGGTGAAACTGATAAGACTCGTTGACTGGGTGTGGATTGGAGTTAAAAAGAAAGAAAAAAAAAACAAGAATTTTGGGCTGAACAACTGGAAGACTGGATCTGTGGTTTGCTAAAGCAGGGACAGGATCTGGAGGGAAAGCAGAACCTGCGAGACAACCCAGTAGCACACCAAGTAGGTGTAGCATGAACTAGCCTGGATACACCACCCCCTCGAGTAAGAGAACCAGCAAAATGTACATGATTTTTCAAGTCAGGCATCTGGGTGAGGAGAGAGGTGGAGAGGAGAGAGAGGCGCTCTGGAATAGGCCAGGAAGAGAGGTCAAGGTGGGGAGGAAAAGCTGGAAAGAAGCCTAGGGAATGGCCGGTACAGTAAGAGGCGTCCAGTCCAGAGAAGCAAGCACTGCAAGGGCAAGGGATTGGTTATCGATGTCAATGCTGCAGATAGGTCAATTAACATGCGGGCTGAGAATCAACCTTTAAATTGGCAAAGTGAAAGTCATGGTTGTTGGGAAAACATATAACGGCGGCAGCACCCCCGAGAAAAACTCCAACATGGCGCCTAACAACCTTCTTTCTCCTTTTTTTTTCTTTCACTGGCGCGAAACGTTCCCGCTGGCGCCAATGTTCAAACCCTCCTGGTGGGAAGCCCTAGCCCCAATAAGAATTAACTTCTTGGGCTCCGGAACTGACATATGGAAGAGCTTGCCAATAAACAGGCGACCTGTTACCTACCTCAGCCCTGCTACCTCTCCTTAGACCTATATAAACACACAGCCTTTTGTAATAAAGCGGAACCTCTTCGGTGATCTGTGTCATGTGGTGCGGCGTCTTCCAGTCTTACAATGGTGACCTTGACAAGAGCAGTTTCGCTAGTGTATTGAGGACAAATCCTGGCTGGAGGAGAGCTTGAGAACACAAGCAGAGGAATGGAGGAAGCAGAGACTGCTCTTCCAAGGAATTCTGCTATAAAGGGAGCAGAGAAATGGGGCAGACACTGAAGAGGGGTGCGGATCAAAGGAGGAGTTTGGTTTTTGTTGGTTTGTTTTATCTTTTTTTTTTTTTAAGGCTAAGAGCTATTAGAACATGCATTATGCTGATCAGAATCTAGGAAAGACAGTAACTTGATGATGCAGAGGAGAGAGGGAAGGGACAGTGCAAGACCCAGTCCTTGAGAAATCAGGAGGGTGGGGTCAGGTGCACAGGGTTGGCCTTGGACAGGTGCAACAGAGTCCTGCTGAGTCACGGGGGAAGGCGGCCTGTACAGGTAAAATACAGCAGGTCTGTGGGGAGAACCTGAGGAAGTTTTCTTCTGGTGGCTTCTGTTTTTCCAGAGTAAAGAGGATGTGATGTCCCCAGCTGAGATTTGAAAAATAGGGAGGAGGCACTGAGATTGGCTGAGAGAAGAGAAGGTGAGGATTCAGTTCATTATCACAGAGCAAGGGTGGCAGGATCCATGAATTTTTTTTTTTTTTTAGTTGTTGATGGACTTTATTGTCTTTATTTTTTTTTTATGTAATGCTGAGGATCAAACCCAGTGCCTCATGCATGCAAGGCGAGCACGCTACCACTGAGCCACAACCCCAGCCCCAGGATCCATGAATTTTAGGGAGACTGTTGGTGTACTAGAGAGGGCAAGTGAAAAGATGGGGTGGGGGGGCAGATGGTGGCAGGTGGAAACTAAAGTCACCCAGGAAATGCAGTTCTTTTTTTTCTTCCCATGGTACTGGGGTTTTAACCCAGAGGCACTTTACCATTGAGCTACATCTGTAGCCCTTTTTTATTTATTTATTTATTTATTTTGAGACAGGGTCTCACTAAATTGCGGAGGCTGTCCTGGAGTATCTCGAGGCATCCAGTGCCTCGCCAGGGTGATTTTTCCTATGCAGAAGGGGACAAGCCACTGAGAAAATAAAGTCTGAAAGAGTTAGTGAAGAAATAAAAGACAAAATCAGAAAAATAGTTTTAAATGCAGAGCATCCGATAGGTCCAGCCCACACAGGAGCTGGAGCTGAACAATTAGAAAATGGCTCTGGTGGTTTTATTTAAGGGGGTACATCAAAGGCAGGGATAAGGTTTCAGGGGTGGAGTCTTGCTCCATGCTGTCTTGCAGTCAACAGGCTGATTGGCATCTTGGCAGGCTACACCAATCTCTGAGAAGCTGTGTGGCTGCAGTAGGTCACCCCATCTCTGGTGCTATGTGGGACCTGGCAGAGCTGAATAGAAATTCACATGTATCTGGTCTTAACCAGTAGGATTGATTGCCACCAGAAGTTCCCAAATACCAGATTTTCCTATTCAATCAGCTTCCATGCCGACCTGTCCACGCGTAGTCCATGGATGGCTCTCCACACTTGGAGCTTACTATCCTTCTGTCTTAGCCTCCCAACCAAGTCGCCGAGATTACAGGCATGTGCCACCGCCCAGCTGGGGATGCAATTCTTGATAAGGACAAGTCCTAAGAAATGGACCGTGGTGTGGTCTTGGGGCGGGGCTGGCAGACCAGTGTTGGGTTACTCTTATCTGAGGCATGTGGCTAACCTTCTGAATCAGAGGTCTAAGGAAAACATTCTAAAAACTCTATTAATAAATAACAGAGCAAGAGTTCAAACCCAGGCTTCTGACTCCAAGTATGGCCCCTTTGCATCAGCTGTGTCTCCACTCTGATGAGTAAAATTTCCTATCAAGGTGTTCAATTCCTCAGTCATTTGGAGTGACAGATAACAATCTCTTCCCTTCAATGATGTGATTTTATGTCCCCCAAAGAAAAGACAGGATTCTGCCAGCTGAACAGGGAACAGATGCTGAGCAAGCAAAAGTCTGAGGAGCCCTAATTCCCCCACCCCAACACCCACCAGTCACCTTCTCCATCAGACCCAACTCCTCCCTGAGGCAGACAGAACTTCTCACCCAGGGGTCTTAGGTTTGGGGTAGTTGCAGAGCCCCTCCGAAAAGCCATGAAAGCAGGAAATGCGTGTGTACCTGCAGTCAGGAATATGTATACAGGCCTGGCTCTACCAAATGCTCAATATAAATTGTTGGATAAATTCAGGGTTAGAATTCCAAGGCGTTCACTTGCTTGCTTCAGGTTCAGAACTGGTACTAACCCTGTCCACTCTGTGTGCAAGGTCCTCTGTTCTAAGGTATTTATGTTCTACGCTGCTTTCTTTGCAAGCCTCTGGAGGGAAGCCACCCATTTCCCATGCTTCCAATCTCTTCCTGCCTCTCAGAAAGTTGTCAGCCCCTCCCTGGCACTTAGAAGCATGTTTAGGAGGACACAGAACTTTGCCTCCTCCTTTCAACTGTTTTTCCTTTGATACTGGGGATTGAACCCAGAGGTGTTTAACCACTGAGCCACATCCCCAGTCTCTTTTTATATTTTATTTAGAGACAGGGTCTTGCTAAGTTGCTTAGGGGCCTTGCTAAATTGCTGAGGATGGCTTTGAACTCACAATCCTGCTGCCTCAGCCTCCTAAGTCTCTGGGATTACAGGTGTATACCACCATGCCTGGCCTCCTTTCAACCTTCACCTTTCAAGGAGGCTAGCCTTTTTTCTGATCTGCCTCCTGGACATATCCCAGTATTCAGAGCCTCCTTGAAGACTCTTAACAACTAGGCTTGAAGTTTGATGGAAACAAGCCCTCCAATCCAATTATCACTAAGTTAGTTTGTGAGATAAGCTCAAAAGGTTATGTCCTCAGTGGAGCCTCCCAGGAGACCTGAGACCAGGGCAATGTTTCAAGACTTCATCTTCTAGGGCTTCCTCACTTCTTCAAGACAAACGAGCCCATCTAGAGCCACAATGTTCCGCGAGGCCCTGAAGATGAGCTTACACCAAGCCTCCTACACCTCCAAACACACCACCCTGAAACTCAATAAAATTACCTCATACAGTTGCCACATCGGATCCAATATCCAAGCTCATGGGCAACTTTTCCCCAAGTCACCAGCTTTCCCTTACCACATCTGATGTATAAAAATAATTAAACATCACCCATGCACAGGGTAGCAATATAGCAATTTAGCAAACCCCATGGTTGACAATCTCTGGGGTAGCCAGGCCTAGGGAAACAGAGCTGAGCAGGCCTGGGACCTCCTTTCCTTAGAGACACCAGGTCCATGGAAGTGGCCAGAGGCAGTAGATCAGCTGGGCAGAGCTGCCCACCCTGGTGTCCCCTCCCAGCCCTGCCTCCTGGGCCCTCTGTGGTAGGAATAGTCAGTCATCCCTACTGTATTCCTGCTTTTTCATGGCAGCCCTGTTAGGAAAGGGAGAGGACTAGGAATTTGGTGTCCACCAGAGACCCCAGGGGTGTGGGAGCAGTTCTCATGCAGAAGTCCTTTGGTGGCAGGCACCACTTAAGCCTGGAAGGATATCATCTCCCCGTGGGGGGCGAGAGGCCCACACCTGCATGTGGTTGCAATAGCTCACACTCCAGTTCCCCGGTCAGAACAAGTATCCCCTCCTCAGGGTGGGGGCAAGGGCTGAACTCTAGAGCACCACTATGCAGTCAGGAAAAAGGGGGTAAGAAAAGGGTGGAGTGAGGGTGCTACCTTCAAACCTTTCCCTGTCACCCCTGGGCCATGATGGTGAGTGCTAGTGGAGTGCCAGTAATACTGAACAACCAAAAAGCAATCCGCATGTGCAGGTCCTGTAAGGAATGTGTGTGACTGTGGCCATGGAGACAGATTTCTCTCATAACATGTGCTTTGTATGCTAAGTAGGCTTGCTGTTGTTTGAGGCAGAAAGACAATGAGTCACTTGTGTCCTCAGACACTGAGGGTGCAATTGGTTCTAGAATTTCAGAGTGACCTGGTGTAACTTAAAGGCGAGATGCCCTTAAAATTCATGCCAACCCATCTCTCCTGATCTGCGGGTGCCTTTTACAAGGCCCTGTTGCATCAGAATCCAGTACAGCACTAAACTCATGTTTTTTTTTTTTCCAGAATAAACTCTAATGCTGCCTGAGTACATAAAGGTGGGTTTTCTTAGATCATTTTTTGGGAGGTGGTGTATACAGAAGCTAACAGCCTTCCTGTAGTTGCTGGCAGTAACTTTCAACCTGCTTCTTACCTGGGTAGTACCATGTAATGAGCCTAGTACTCAGGCGAACTCTCTGGCTATGGCTTGAACTATCTGGAGTCAAAGTTGAGCTCTATCTCTTAACTAATCTGAGGATGCATCGGTTTCTTCATCCGAGAAGTAGGGATAATAATGAAAACTGTCTCAGAAGCCTGAGAGACCCTGAGGTGTGGCCTTCACCTTTTCTTTACACCTGTAAATGTTCAATCACTGTTCACCAAAGGAATGGAGATTTGTTGGTGCTCTAGCATAAGACTGTTTACATTACTGGGTAAATTTTATCCTGATCAAACTCAATAGAAGTTTGTTATGCTTTAAGTAAGTCCTGAGCTTCAAACTGCCTGAACCCTGTGTGGGGTGTTGATTTCAACTTCTGGCCCCACAAGACTCCTCAGAACCAAATGGCCTTTGTCAAACAGTTTGTATAAAGGGACTTCATTCAGAGCCTTGTTGAATTAACTGGGGCTTCCTTTAAATAAAGGCTTGTTTTTAGAAGCCTTCTTTTTCTAACAAGGAAAAGAACACAATGGATTCCAAGTAATCTACAGTCCTCATCACAGCTTGTCACAAAAACCTGGCACATCTTTTCAGACCAGAGTGAAAACAGACACACGCTCACTACCTTGCTAACTTCAGGGCACAGCCTCGGCCTGATGTTCCAAAAGCATTTGCTGACAAACTTCCTCTAACTACACAGTTATTTCCTGGAAGAGCAGCAAAAGTTGTTCT